TGGACGTTAATGCTCAAGTTTTCTCACGAGGTTAGGTGGGACGGGAAGGGGGGGGAAATGTGGGGAGGGGGTCGAGGGGGTGTGTGAGAAAATAAAAAGTCGATTCTCTCTTCATTTGTGGATTTCCTCCTGAACAGAATCTCATCCTATCCTAGACTTGTAAAAAAATAAATCTTTCTTCCGAAGCCTGCACTTTTTTTAAAAAAAAAACACAACAACCCAGATTTCTTTTCCCGGGACACACTGTAATTAAACAGATGAAGATCTCTTCGTTAACTTTTTGGGAAGAACACACAGACACACACACACAGACACACAAAAACGGATTCTTAAATGTACTGTAGGGGACGAGGAGAAAGCAAATCTTATTTTGTAAATGTAAAAAAAGAAAAAAAAAATTAAATTAACTCACAGAGATAAAATAAACCAACCTGGTTTTTGGTTGTTGTTTTTTTTACACACACCCCCCACTCCCTCTTTTTGCTTTTGGATCTAATGAGCTGCGGATTGGATGCCTTAAAAAGCGGGCAGGGTGGGCACCGGATCCCCATTGTTAAAAAAGGGGGGCTTTGTGTGTGTGTGTGTGTGTGTGTGTGTGAGTGAGGGAAGCAGAGGCCTTTTTAACCTGGAAAATGTTGCTTTGCAATCCAGTTGGTGGGGGGGAAATGCCTCCTGCCTTTGGACTCCCAAACTGGACAGGGTGGGTGCAAAGACCCCCTCCCCTGCGCCCCCATTAACCCCAGGGCGACGCTCTGCCCTAAACAGGCACCCCAAAATTTAAGTGACACCATTCCGGCCTCTCTGGATGGGTGCTTTTTTTTTTTCTTCTTCCAGATTTAAAAATGGGTGGTGGGCTGTTTTTTTTTTTATTTTTTCCCCCCCAAACAGCAACATCTGGCCTGGGCCCAAGGAGGGAGGGGGGGGCTCTGTGCCATTTTGGGGAAGGGGAGACAGAGGTGAGGATGGCCTGAAAGAAGCATCTCTGGAATTCAAAGGGGTGGGAGAGACCCTTCCCCTGCTGGGAGAGGGGAGGGGGGCTGCCTCTTAAAGCATCCTGGGGAGAGGCAGGTTTTGCCCCTGGAGTTTAGTGTGTGTGTGTGTGTGTGTGTTGGGGCTTTGTGCTTTGCACTCTGTGTGTGTGTGTTTGTGCATTCCTAGCTTATCCTGGAGGGAGGGAAGCTGGAGGGGGGGGGAAGGAGGGAGGGGCACCTATAAAACACATCTCCAGCTTAAGCCCAGCCAGAAAGCAAAAAAGCCACCAGCAAGCATGAGCTTAGACCTCAGTTCCCCCAAACCTGGGCAGGGGTCCCTGGAGTGCGAGGGGGCCCCGGGGACCTCGCCACTCACCCCCCCTCCTTATGCTGGGGAGGGGGCTCTGGAGCTCCGAGGGTCCCTAGATTGCTGGGCTTGTGCAGTGCTGGTCACCCTCCAAAACCTGCTCATCGGAGTGCTCAACCTCCTCTTGGCCGGATTCATCTTTGGACTGGTCCTGTTGCCGGCTGGAGTCCTTTTGGGCTTCGGATTTCTCTGCCACTCCAAGGTCAGTGGTCCTGCTTAGCCCCCCCATCACCACCACCACTTGGGAGGGGGGGTCAGAACTGGGAGGGAGCAGGCGGGAAAGGCGTTGAATTTGGGGAAGGGGCCAGGAACCTGAAGCAGCAGCTTTTCCCCCTGGCAAACAGGCTGCAGGGCTGCCCCAGTGGGGAAGGGGAGGCTGGATTTTTTTTTGAATATTCAG